ATTTAATTGTTCTAAATGCCCATAAAAATGTAATGCATGTGGGGTACAAGATACCTTAAATTGTATTAGGGAAACTTTCTGGATTCCACAAGGATGGCAAAGTGTAAAAAGGGTGATTAAACCTTGTGTAATATGTCGCCGTGTGGATGCCAGATCCTATATGTACCCAGGTCCTCCACCATTGCCAAAGGAGCATGTACAATTAGTGAAACCATTTGATGTAACAGGTGTAGACTATAGTGGTCCAATAATTTTAACAGGTACTTCAGATGGTGTTCCACTGAAAGTGTATGTTTGTTTGTTCACCTTTACTGCTACTAGGGCAGTTCATTTAGAAGTGGCACAGAACTTGTCTGCAGAACAGTTTATACAGGTGTTTCGAAAATTTGCAGCTAGGAGATCCTCTCCGAGATTGATGATTTCGGATAATGCCACAAATTTTGTAGCAGGTGCTCAACATTTGATAGAGTTAAATAATAGTAACGATGTTCAATCTCTGTTAACCCAACGAGGGTGTACCTGGAAATTTATTACTCCTAGAGCCCCTTGGCAGGGGGGGCTGTACGAAAGACTTATTGGCACAGTGAAACGGTGTCTCCGTAAAGTACTACACCGGAAGAAAATTAATTTGGAAGAATTCCATGCATTGTTAGTGGAGGCAGAAAATCGGATAAATAATAGGCCTCTCTCGTACGTGAGTGATACACCTGATACAGATGTATTAACACCTTCTCACCTAATAAGTGGAAGGAAATTGGAAGCTGCCCCTGTCTATAGAGATAATCTGGAAGAAAGTGATGAAGATTACAATGATGCAGCAGTGTTGTGTGATAAATTTAAAATGTTAAATAAAGTAATTGATCATTGGTCTAATGTGTGGCATAAGGAATATCTTCTTACACTACGTGAACACTTTTATGGTGCGACAGAGGCAGTAAATCGACAGAACATTCAATCAGGTGACATTGTGTTGATTGATAGTGAACAACATCGAACATTGTGGCCTCTGGGCAAAGTACTGACATTGTACCCAGATGCACAAGGTGTTGTCAGAAATGTCAAAGTGTTGTGTCGTGGTCAGGAAAGTTTATGTACAATTAATAAACTGATTCCCTTGGAATTAAATGGTGTTCAATCAAACGTAAAGAAAAATCTGAGGGAAAGTGACACGAGTGATATGGAAGATAATGCTGACCAAGTGATGCCGGAAGATGAAATCGTAGTAAGACCTACTAGGAGAACAGCCACTCATGCCAGAACCGGCTGGAATCGTCTCCTAAAGGAAGGAGTAATTTAAGTCGTTTAGCAACGAACTCTGGCCGGCCGCAGTGTGGAAAATAATGTGTTTTCCAGAAAAAATACAGTGTATTTTTTATGTAAATTAGTGTAACATACTGTATTAATAAAAATTTATGTCATAAAAAATGGGAAGCCTGCGCCTGCGCAGACGGGACTCGCCATTGTGTTTTGAATGAGCCAAGAAAACGTTAGTGAAAATAAGAAGAATTTTCGTGTTCTAGAGGTTAAATTGTGTTGATAACTCTCAAATAGGAGGCGAAATTGTTGGATGTGCATTCGTGCATAACTTGAGATATCAGGCGAAAGGACAAGACTCTAATTAGACAGAAACAGGATATTACTCCAGCTAAGTGTCTTATTTTATGTTAGATTCTGGCCAGTTTCTTCATAAATTTTAGACAGGAGTTAGACATGATACACCTTGATCTCCAGTCAAATTTGTGAGTGATTTAAAGATATTCTCCTTCTGTTATATAAATGTGTATCTATAATAATTTTTTAATTTTAATATACAGTTCACAAACTTATTAATTTACCAGAATTCTTGTTGATGCATCTTTCATTTGTAATTAATAGGTCTAGAGCAACTTGTGGATAAGACAGTAGTAGGTATCGAAGGGAGACACTTTTGCGACCTAGGTGTCCCAAATTCCTACTTGTCTATGTAACTGATAAATAATAATTATCTTTATCATTTACTGTTATGTACATAATGAGTTACATTCAGATAAATGCAATTTTCCACATAAGTAAACTTATTATAAATTGAGAAAATCTCCCTTTAAACGGCATAAGTGTTCATTATCACAAAACTCTGCTTGCAAAAATAAAACATCAAAAATAAAACAAATAAAAAATAAAATTTCCACATTAATCACATGATTATTATAAATTGAGAAACTATGAAAGCAGCATTAACGTCCATTACCTCATATCTCTGTTTTCAAATATAAAATAAGCACTTCATAAAAATATATAAACAAAGTCTACAGAAACAGTGCAAAAAATTATTGTACATTATCAACCCTGCGTCTCACAGCAATATGTAATAAGCAAAACTGGCTGTACAAAACACACCACTGGGAGAAATTGGAGAGCACGGGAGGGAAAATTTTCAGACTTCAAAACTGGGTATTTAGTTATGTATAAATTTTGTTGGTGGGACTGTGGCCTTGAGAAACACACCATTGACCCCTCAATAGGTGGGCCTCACAGGCCTTCACCCTCGAACCCTGGAGTCACCCCACTTAGTGATCAAAAAAAAAAAAGCAGGTGGGTCCTGGAGAAACATAACACACAAAACACACAGGATCACTATTCATGACCCAAAAATGGTGAGGCATCCACCAGCACCGTACCACTACCTTCATTTTGATGCAAGGCCACTGTGGACTTGCTTGAAAAGACCTTCATCCGAGGGTCTAAAACAGCTGGCTTACCTGAGGTAAAACTTCAGTACTGGCTACCGTGTGTGTAACTTGAGAAGCCTATGCAGCAGTCTGGTCACTAAGCATCTTTTTGTAAATCTGCTGCCTGTGACCCCCTTTTTTACAGTAAGTACAAAAATTAGATTTAAAAGTCCCATGCCCATTTAGAGTAGGCTGGGTTCTATGTCCATGGGGAATTGGGTTTTTCCAACCTGCTCCTCGTTTTCTTGAACCTAAAACTGACTTACCACTTCCTTGAGCAGGTAAGTAAGAAGTATACTAAAATCCCTGGGAACCAGGATTCTGGTGGTTAGTAGCCTCAAAAATTCTTTGGATTATGAAGCTGGAAAAAATTTGATTTAAACCTGTGAAATTTCTTACTCCTCCTAGTTGGTGGAGAAAAATTATTATTAACATGATCTGGTTGATAACTACTTCCAACTTTTTGGTTGGCTAAAAACCTTTCACCCAACTCTAGAGCATGGTTAAAATCATTAAAATATTTTTCCTCAAGATATGCCTTAAGGTCAGGAGGTACACTGTTCAAAATATGCTCTAGCAAAATTAAAATCATTACACCTTCATAATCCCCTACATTATAAACCATACCCCGGCCGGGATTGAACCCGCGGTCAGAGTCTCAAAACTCCAGACCGTCGCGTTAGCCACTAGACCAGCTAGTCACAATAAGATTCGTCCAACTAGGTATATTTCTACACCATAGGAAGGTTAGCATAGGCACCAATGTGACCACAAATGCAAGTTTTTACAGACGAATCTCCAGCTAGCGTGGCCGTGACGAACTCTAGCTCAAGTCCCCTCACTGCCGTCAACATGACTCTCTGACCGCGGGTTCAATCCCGGCCGGGGTATGGTTTGTTTGCAATCGTGTCATTACGATTTCGTGAGTCATGTTCCCCTACAATATCTTTGGAGCGGCACCATCTAGTCAGCAGCGACATCTTCTCCTTTCCATACTCCACCAAGGATTGTCCTTCCTGAAACTTTAAATCTCTAAACTTCTGCCTATACCTCTCTGGCAATATCTGATAATATTAAAATGGTATAAAATAGCGACAGTTTGTTAGATAAGACATATGCAACAGTTAGGTATCTTTATTTCGAATTGCCCAGCATAAATACTCAGGACAGGGCAGGAGTCGAACGCGATCTTTAACCACGTTAGTGCATGTAATCACTCACCGGGGTGGGATGCTGCCCAGATTATAGTACCAAACAGTTCTGTCATGGAAAGAAACATAATTGAATCTTCCCTCTTGAAACATGAAAGGAATACAGTATACAACTCAAATTAAGGGTTATACAAGCTCGATAACTATTTAGTAGTGTCCATTGTACACAAACTTAAACAACAGTGCTATACAAGATCACAGGATTGTTCATTATGCCAGGTGGGTTGATGGATTGGTGACTCCCGACCAGTGTCTACGTACCAGAACCTCAAACCACGTCAGTTGTAATGGTTATAAAGCGCGTGTAGCTGTTGATGTACCATACGGTGACAAGCACACAAGATAACGAGATAACGTAAGGAGAGGTTAAAGGGTATTAGTAGAATTTAGATCATAGAAATATTATCGGATAGGCATAGAAGATCTCCATATATGGCATATTAACCAACACTGAGAAAAATAGTAGACAATATTTAGGAAGAGATACTTCTGAGTAAATCGGTAGAACATTCGAGTACCTCAGAGCAGGACATTTAAACGGACAAAGAGCACATTGTATTTCTTTCTTTCATTATTTGAAAAAGGTCACACAGAATAACAGCAATCCATGTCTGCAATATCTAACGAGAAACTTACTTTCTCAAACCACGTGACCTGTTATAAACGATTAGAAAAAGCTTAGGGCTGGCTTTTTATATCTTATAATTTCATACTTGATATCTCAGAAACCCTCCTACTCCATATGGAGAGTATGGGGATAATGGTAGGGTGGGGTTGGCACCGACCACTAACCCAGGCTAAGGGTAACCGTGGACGATGACATCTACGGTACTCTGAGACCTCTCTCCATGCTTTGGTTGCTCCCTTGCAACATTGCACAGCTTATGATGCACTGAGAAGTGTAAAAGTACTTGAGCTAAAGATTTCCACCCCCCGTGGCTTGTCCTGCAAATGTATATATATATATATATATATATATATATATATATATATATATATATATATATATATATATATATATATATATATAATATAGGGAGGTACCACCTCTAGAATTGGATTGGGGACCCTCATCCTCAGAAAAAAAGAATAAATTTACTTTAGGGAAAACTCGAGATTCTCCCCGGAGCTGTTTAAATATTGTCTTCTCTTACCACCCCCTATATTTTATATTCTATGTAAACTTTATTTAAAGACAAAATACATTAACAAAAATACAATAGGAAGTAGAGCAACATACAAGACATGTCAGAGCCTACATCTCAGATACTTCATCCGGCTCCCCAGCAGTCGGCCGCGTACCCAGAATGCTGCAAGCATTTCCATTCGGGATCGCGACACTGAGTTTCTGGAAGAGGAAGCTGGCCGCTCTGTGATCCTTCGTCTTTGAGGAAGTTTAGAGCACACTAACCCTATGCTCCAAGGGTCTCTGATCCTACTGGGATGAAGTTATACCAGCTGGGCAGGCCGTCATATTTGCCGAATTGGCCATGACTTCTGACATAGCCAGAGCATGACCTATTTGTGCCGAATAGGTAAATCTGGAGAATTAGCAAGAACTCATTAAAAATTAAGTCTTTTCTAAAATTTTCTATTGTACGTTTGAAGATATATATTTTTTACATTTACGTTTAATGTAAAAAAATAAAAATTTTGTACCCAAAGAACCTCAAACAACTTACCTAACCTTATTATAACAAGCGCAATTTAACCTAGCCTAACGCAACTAAATTAATTTTAGATAAGTTTACAATAATTAATAATAAACAAACACAATGAAATATATTTTTTTCGTTTGGTTCAGAATGTTTTTTTGCGAAATTGTAGCCTACACAAATTTTCACTTGCCTTATTTATGTCAAAATCGCAAGTTTTACCTATTCGGCACAACATATATAAGACAGTCACATTCGGCTTCTCTTTTTTTTCTTGTTTCTTGTTTGTATTCTCTAATCATCGTCTCTTTCGCCTCTGTTTCTATGTGCTCTCACCCACTTCCGTAAATTAAGAATTTCATGTTAAAGTAATAAAAAAATACATGGAGATAAATGAAACAACAGATTATGACACTTGTATATTGCAAGCTCTCTGCTACCATCGTCTGCGTCTAAGTTACAGACTAAAATATATAGTTGTAGTAGCTTGTTACTTTATATCTCTATACAAATGAACTACAAGGGATTACATTAACTAAGTGTTCATTATACTCACATAGGTAAGTTATTGTCCTGTGTTCCGTGGAGTGAACCTAATGGCAAAAGGTTTATCCGGCATCATGTTAAGTCTCATTATTTGACCGATGGTGTCACCTCCAGTAGAGCTTTCCACCTCCATCTTGAAGCTTTTCACAAGCTGTTGCAAAAGAAAAAATAAGCTTGTCCAATGTTACGATTCTTAGAAAGAAAAACAATCATTGAAGTCATTTATGAGAACATAAGAGAAAACATGAAGCCGTGTCTTTGAAGTATATTAAACATTCTCAACATATTTGCCAAATGCATGATGTGTTTGCATTACGCTCAACTATAAAAAATTCTCACAGACAAGAATTCCCCAGAAATCCCAGCTCGCCTTAAATAATTTTCAGAGTTATATGAAACACAAAATAAGGTTAAGACAGGCCAAGAATAAAATTTAGATAAAATAAATGAGTTCCTCTAAGCGGATATCTAAGAAAGGTTAAGTACGACACTTTACAACGGTAATTCTTTAAAAAAATTTTTGCTGGTGCCCAGGTTCTAGTTAAGGGAGGCTAAACCAACAACCTCTACCCTGACTCTCACTTTGGTCTTCACACACCACTTGAGATAAATAATAGACAAGGAAAAAATGTTAATTTAAAATAAGAAAATCGAGTAAACTTGGTTGCTGTACAAACTAGTTTTTTGCTCAAACTCATTAAAGAGAACACTGCCTTGAAAACTAATTTAACAAGGTATTCTAATTTAAAAGAAGCTGTATCACAAATTGTGCTCTGGTTACCTCGTAAGTCATGTACTAGCTGTATTAGAAGTCAAGCTCTGGCCGTATTAGAAATCATCTTCTGGATATATTATAAGTCAAACTCTGGCTGTATCAGTAGTCATGCTTTGGCTGTATTAGAATCCAAGCTCTAGATGTATTAGTAGTCATGCTTTGGCTGTATCACTAGTCATGCTTTGGCTGGATTAGAAGTCATGCTCTGGCTGTATCATTAGTCATGCTCTGGCTGTATCATTAGTCATGCTCTGGCTGTATCAGTAGTCATGCTCTGGCTGTATCATTAGTCATGCTCTGGCTGTATCAGTAGTCATGCTCTGGCTGTATCAGTAGTCATGCTCTGGCTGTATCGGTGGTCATGCTGCACTGGCAGTATCAGTAGTCATGCACTGGCAGTATCAGTAGTCATCATCCAGCTGTATAGGCAGTCATGCTCTGGCAGTATCAGAAGTCCTGCCCAAGCCTGCAAACAAATTCAAAACTTTGTCTTTGTGACAGAAAGAGCTGAAAATCCAGCTCCTGCCCGGTAGTTTGTTGCGAAGGCCAGAAGAACCTGAAGATCTTTACATCCCAGAGCCAGTTTTTTCTTGTGCACTTTAACCCAAAATGCACTCAACGATTTCTTTTGCTTGCTTAAAACATAATGAAGCGTTATAATTTTTACCTCTACGAGCAGCTGCGTTTGCAGCTAATTTATGTTTCCCATATTCAAGAAGAATGCGTGGATGATGGCAAAATGTCTTGTGCTAAAGAGTTATGCTACTCTCCCCTTCCTTGTGTCAAACGTGACTTTATCTCTCACTTTACAGTAACTGTATGACCCTTGGGTGTTTATTGCTTCTTCATTATTATAATTATGGTAATATGCAGCTCGCAGCTATGTTGAATGTTTCGAGGACGATGAAGGAAACTACTGTGTCTTCCAGAAACAAAATAGGGAGTAGAAAAATAGTAGTCTTTTTTTTTCCTGTCCTCTTCTGCACCTTTAACTTACCGTTAAATGTTGACAGCTTCTCTGATAGCCCAAGCACTCTGGTCACGACTTTTCACTGAAGTGATAAAGTCGTTGACCTAAGGAAAAATAACTCACTAGGAAGACCACGAGCATCATCCACTTGCAGCATTGTGGTAATGGGACGAGTCATCTCAAACAAGAATATTTCTACCTTCGTGCAATGCCGCTGTTCGTAGAACCTTTCCTAGCTACATTTATTTGACCTTGGTGTGATTTGGTATATATATATATTATATATATATATATATATATATATATATATATTATATATATATATATATATATATATATATATATATATAATATATATATATATATATATATTATATATATATATATATATATATATATATATATATATATATATATATATATTATATATATATATGTGTGTGTGTGTGTGTGTGTGTGTACTCACCTATTTGTACTCACCTATTTGTGGTTGCAGGGGTCGAGTCATAGCTCCTGGCCCCGCCTCTTCGCTGATTGCTACTAGGTCCTCTCTCTCCCTGCCCCATGAGCTTTATCATACCTCTCCTTAAAACTATGTATGGTTCCCGCCTCCACTACGTCACTTTCTAGGCAATTCCACGGCCTGACTACTCTGTGACTGAAGAAATACTTCCTAACATCCCTTTGATTCATCTGAGTCTTCAACTTCCAATTGTGACTTCTTGTGTCTGTGTCCCATCTCTGAAACATCCCGACTTTGTGTGTGTGTGTGTGCGTGTGTGTGTGTGTGTGTGTGTGTGTGTGTGTGTGTGTGTGTGTGTGTGTGTGTGTGTGTGTGTGTGTGTGTGTGTGTGTGTGTGTGTGTGTGTGGGTGTGGGTGTGTGTGTGTGTGTGCGTAGTTAGAGCTTTGTCATTCCCATGTACGATGTTTCAATTGGAAGACGAAATTGGAGCACATCTGACTAAAGATTCAATGAATGACTGACCTCGCATTGATGGTATTCACTCCTTGAGTGATGTCTTGCATGACAGCTGCAACTCACGCGACGGCCTTTAACAGTTTTGGGTTACACAAAGCCATAAATAAGGTGTTTCGCTCAAGACAACGGTTCATTCTCCTAGAGTGGAACATTAATTTACTATACTCTAACTATCTTTATGTTACCCATATTTGTCGGAACTCAGACTTCCTCCTGATGGAGGAGACAATGAAGAATCATTACTCACTGACTAACTATTTTCACTTTATCAATGAATCTCTGGCGTGCTCCAATCATCAGTAATGCAATATCAGAGCACATGCTGGAACACTGATTCAGGTTAAATACTTCTTCCTTAATGAATGAATCTCCAATTGAGAAAATATCTCCGGTTGTGGTAGACGGCAATAGCCGGCAGAACAAGAACAATTCCTCCCCTATCGTTCGGATCTCGATAGCGTGCATACGCTGTGAATGGAGCGTCGTCACTAGCATCAAACAGCAATCACCTGTTGTTTGATGTCATTTGATATGTCGAAGATGCTCGCATGAATCATATCATTCGACAAAGGAATCTGCTCGATCTTCCTGGCGACGTCACGTCGCGACGCCTGGTGGCGTCCCCTCCGCAGACGGTATGCACCCTCCCGACGTCACCTCTTTAGACAGCATGAACCCTGGTGGCGTCCCCTCTGCAGACGGTAGCATACTGCCGACGTCACCTCCGCAGATGAGTCATGAGTAATACCTTGTTAACTACTTTTAGGTAAGACACATATGCAACAGTTAGGTATCTTTATTTCGAAACGTTTCGCCTACACAGAAGGCTTCTTCAGTCGAGTACAGAAAAGTTGATAGAAGCAGAAGATACTTGAAGACGATGTAATCAGTCCATCACCCTTAAAGTTTTGAGGTGGTCAGTCCCTCAGTCTGGAGAAGAGCATTGTTCCATGGTATGAAACAATACCATGGAACAATGCTCTTCTCCAGACTGAAAGACTGACCACCTCAAAACTTTAAGGGTGATGGACTGATTACATCGTCTTCAAGTATCTTCTGCTTCTATCAACTTTTCTGCACTCGACTGAAGAAGCCTACTGTGTAGGCGAAACGTTTCGAAATAAAGATACCTAACTGTTGCATATGTGTCTTACCTAACAACCTGTCGGTATTTTATACCATTTTAATGTTCATTCTAACTACTTTTAGCTTCAACTGTATCTCACCAGTTGCGTGGCTTCTTCTGTCCTGCAATCAGTCACCAGCTTGAATGATCAGAGATCGAGAGTTCGACTTCAACCAAAGGATCAAGTTTTCATCAATCCTCGGGTCTAACTATCCGTATCAAAACGAAACAGAACAAAATGGGAGCGACAGTAGCTTAGTACTTTCGACAGAAGAAACCTTGTGTTTTTTTAAACATCGAAAGCACTGCCTTTTCTTTCGAGACGTTGCCCGGTGTACATAGGAACAAATAACTGTTCTTATGTACACTATTTTTCTTCACATCAAGATAAAGTTAAACTGTCTGTTTTCTCATCAATGTTTTTGAGAGTTTTGCGTATTTGTAGTCCAGAGTTCATAGATGAAGAAATATCCAAAATTTATGGAATAGCTAATGATCTGAAATACCCACGAAACGTAATTGATAAATCTTTTAAGATTGCTAGAAATACTTTTTTACAATCCAAAAAGGGACAACCAACCTTATTCAACTAAAAATATGTTGGTTCTCCCTTACCATGAAAACTTGGTTGATATGCCTTCTCTTCTTAAGACTTTTAATATCAAAGTTGTATTTAAAAATCTTGATACAGTAAAAAAAAAATTTTGATAAAGAATTTCCCCCAAAATGCTGATGAATGTGTCTATAAGATTCCTTGTAAAATTTGCGATAAAGTTTACTACGGTCAAACTGGTAAAAGTCTCGAGCTAAGATTAAAACAATATAAATATAGAATTAGAACTGGACAAGATTCCAATGCTCTATTTATTCATGTGAGAGATTTTAACCATCCAATTGATTTTCAAAAAGTTGAGAAAGTTGTATCAAGCAAGTCCATGGTCGACAGGAATATAATTGAATCTTGTTTCATAAAAAGCAGTTTTGACAATAATATGAATATTTCTTTTGGTTTATATAAATTAGATCCACTTATAATTAATAGAATTTGGGAAGAATTTAATAATACATTGGACAAATAATAAATTTTAAAATTCTTAATTCTTGGGTACAATAGTTTGTTTGTGGGTTGCGTGAAGGACTGTCTAGTTTGACCAGCGGGCCTGCTGCAGTGTTTCCTTTCTAATGAGTCGCACGTCAGGTGTTGTTTTGTTGTGGGATGTAATAGTGAGGTGGCGTCTATACCCTTTATATGCCTTCCAATGATGCATTACCACACTTCACGATGCACTTCTCGAACAGG